CCAAAACCATCTCTAACCCAAATCCCTGACCCCAAAACCTTCTCTAACAAAATCCCCCAAATCCTCCATCCCAAAACCATCTCTAACCCCAAATCCTCCCCACATCCTGAACCCCAAAACCATCTCTAACCCCAAATCCCTCTCTCCCAGCTCGTCGCTGCCCCCCGTCCCCGAGGAGCCCCCGGCCCACCTTGGCCAGATCCAGCCCGAGCTCTACGGCCCCTCCGGTGACCCCGATGCCGGCGGCGCCCGCGGCGGCCCCGGCGGCGGTCCCGGCGGCGCGGCGCCGAGCTGCGGCCGCCTCCAGGTGTCCCTGCGCTACTCGTACGGCTCGCAGCAGCTGCTGGTGCGCGTCCTGCGCGCCCGCGACCTGCCCGCCAAGGACTCCAACGGCTTCTCCGACCCCTACGTGAAGATCTACCTGCTGCCCGACCGCAAGAAGAAGTTCCAGACCAAGGTGCTGCGGCGGACGCTGAACCCCGAGTGGGACGAGACCTTCAGCTTCGGGGTGCCCTTCGCCGAGCTGCCGGCGCGGCGGCTGCACTTCAGCGTCTACGACTTCGACCGCTTCTCGCGGCACGACCTCATCGGGCAGGTGGTGATGGACAACCTGCTGGAGGCGGCCGAGGCGCGGCCCGAGGTGGCCATCTGGAGGGACATCCAGGAGGGCACGGGGGTGAGTGGACACTGGAACCCCAAAAAGATCCCGAAACTCCTAAAAGATTCCAAAAAACCCCATGGAAAAACCCAAAAGGTCATGGGAGATTGGTCCTGGAGAACCTTCTGGAGATGGTCACCAGAGGTGCCATCTGGAGGGACATCCAGGAGGGCACGGGGGTGAGTGGACACTCAAAGCTTGGGGAGCCCCAAAAAGATCCCAAAACTCCTAAAAGATCCCAAAAAATACCCCAGAAATTCATGGGTTAAATGGTGCTGGAGAACCTTCTGGAGATGGTCACCAGAGGTGCCATCTGGAGGGACATCCAGGAGGGCACGGGGGTGAGTGGACACGCAAAGCTTGGGGAGCCCCAAAAAGATCCCAAAACTACTAAAAGATGCCAAAAAAAACCCCAGGAATTCATGGGTTAAATGGTGCTGGAGAACCTTCTGGAGATGGTCACCAGAGGGACATCCAGGAGGGGACGGGGGTGAGTGGACACTGAAATCTTGGGGAGCCCCAAAAAGATCCCAAAACTACTAAAAAATGCCAAAAAACCCCATGGAAAAACCCAAAAGGTCATGGGAGAGTGGTCCTGGAGAACCTTCTGGAGATGGTCACCAGAGGGACATCCAGGAGGGGACGGGGGTGAGTGGACACTGAAACCTTGGGGAGCCCCAAAAAGATCCTAAAACTCCTAAAAGATGCCAAAAAAAACCCCATGGAAAACCCAAAAATTCATGGGGTAAGTGGTCCTGGAGAACCTTCTGGAGATGGTCACCAGAGGGACATGCAGGAGGGGACGGGGGTGAGTGGACACTG